AAAACTATACAAGAACCCTGCATTCTAGAGTCTGGAGAAATAGCTTAAGAATATTGATTGTTCTTCCAGAGGACCTGGGTTCAATTCCCAGCACCTACATGGTGGCGCATAACTGCTTGTAATTCTAGTTCCAAAGAATCTGATGCCCTCTTCTGCCCTGCAGAATTCTGTATGTATGCAGGCCACATAACATCACACACATACACACTAAAAATAAAAGATATATAATGTTTAAAAATGTGTTCTGAAGGCTGGCGAGATGCTCAGAGGGAATGGACCCTGCCACCCAGTCTGATGGCCTGTGTTTGATCTCTAGTGCAGAGTCGACTCCCACAAAGTGTCTTTTGAAGTTCACACAAAATTAGTAAATAAAAAATGCAATTTTAATTTTTTTTTTTTAAAAAAAAAACCCTGATTCTAGAAACAACTGGCCAGTTTCATTGCTGTTCTGTGCCCATCTTCAAGGTCAAAGTTTGTCGCATCTCTGATCTGCCTGAGAAAGAATCCACTTTGCCTTTTTGGGTAAAGCTTCTCCAAAGCTTACAGATGAAACTCTTCCATTTGACTTTCTGCAAAACAATCCAGTTCCTTCTGGAGCTAAACGGAGACAAAGCTAATAGCAGAACTCTGTCCTTCAGGTTCAGAGTCATGGCAAGGGCCATAAAGACACAGCCGTGAGCTACTCTCTCCCAAGCACAGTCCAGTTAGGACAGCCTTGGAAACGTTTGCTGAAAATGTGACCTGCCTCTTCCCTTTCTATAGGACCATGTGCGGCTGTCTTCTGCACAGATACCTGGGGCAGAAAAGATTTGGGGGCTTGTCTTCACAGCTTGAAAATGTATTTCCTTTCTGAAAATTGTCTTAGAAAACTGAAACCCAAAGGAAATGTGGGGGTTGGTTGTTTTGTTTTTGAAAAAAAAAAATTGAAGTCATTCCAAAATACACTAACTGCTGTGAGTGTGTGTATGCATGTGTGGGTGCCTGTGTGTAATGAAGAGTGTCTTCTTCTATTGCTTATTGTTTGAGGCAAGGTCTATCAGTGGACCTGGAGCTCACTGATTGCTGAGACTGGTTAGGCAATGGCTAAGCATCATCTTCGCTTTTCCATCCTCTTCCCACTGCCTCCCAGCACTGCAATTATAGGCAGGTGCAGCAACACACAGCTTGTTAAAAATATGGATGCTGGAGAGCCCATCCATCAGCCCCAAGCCTGTATAGCAATTTACAGAGGTATCTCTCTAACCCCTACAGCTGTGTTTTTAGACCACCACGGTTATACTCTAAGAAAGTTAAATACACAAAAAACCAGGACACGGGACTCAGAAGATGGCTCACTGGAGAAAGTACTTGCCCACTTGACGGGCAAAGTTGAGGACCAGAGTTTGAATCCTCAGAACCCACATCAAAATCTTGGCAGGCTTAATGACTTCCTGTGGTCTCAATACTCACAAGGCCAAGACCAGGGCCTCTGGGACAAGGCAGGGCTACACTTGCCAGAACTGGTGAGCTCTGAGTTCCGTGAGAGATCCTGTGTTAATAAATGAAGTGGGGGGTGCAATCGAGGAAGACACCTCGATTCCAGACCTCCATACACGCATGCAAACATGTACCTACACATGCAGTCCCACACATACTCCAACATGCATATGCATGCATACATACCACCTCTGTCAACACACACCAATAACAATAATAATAAAGGATGCCTTTTAAACCACCTCCCTACTGAAGATTCAGCTCAGGTGGTAGGCTGGTTGCCTAGTTTGTACAAGGCTTTGGGTTCAATTCCTATCAACAAACACGCACACACACACAAAATCCCTTTATTAGGAAGTACTTAACTGACATCAATGTAATTCAACCCATATTCGTTGAGTATTTCTGACAGATACCTAATACCTAAGCAGGTAGAAGGGTGGCTAAAGTCCTCCCACCCCACCTTTCCACTGACATCTGTACACTAAGCCTTGATGGAAATCACTCGGTTCACTCTGGTGTTCCTTAGTCCAGCTGTGGAAGTTCAGGATGAACTGGAGGTGATAAACCACTTTACAACACACTCAAATCTTTTGGCACAGAAGGAAGGTCGAAGTTTTTGTTAGCATTGGTAGAAATAGGAGTTGTTCTTTCTTCTCTCGACTTTTTTAATTGATGAAAATTCTTTACACAATTGCTAGAATAAGGCACCCGGCAACTTTCTTGATATTTACGATAGTCTCATCAGATAACCAATATAAAATATCTTCCAGAATTCTGCATCTCCTCCGACTTCAGAGTTTGTTCTTGGGATGTTAGAGATAAACAAAACTGGGCTTAATAAATCTCTCCGATGTTGTAAATATAGTTTCTGGTCCTTTCTCTTCTTGGAGCAAGAGGCCAGATCCCACCAGCAATATAGATAGCCTGGCCTTTCTCAAAGATGTCATTTCATCAAACATATTATGCTTTAGCCAAATGCTGAGAGCCGAGCAGGAGGCTTTCCTATGGCTTTGCCTGAAGATCACTGGCCTTTGGGAAACTCAGCATCGCCCCCTTTGATCTGGTAATTGAATCTGGACTGAGAAAAGTGGATGCTAAGTGGCAGAGGGCAGATGTGAAACAAGGTCTTTCTAACTCCAAAGCACCTACATATAGCAACTCATTTAGATGCGGTGTGTGTGTGTGGGTGTGTGTGTGTCTGTGGGTGGGTGGGTGGGTGTGTGTGGGGGGTGTGTGTGGGGGTGTTATAATCAGAAATAGACCACAGGAGCCACTGTGACTAAGCATAATCTCATCCCCAATGATCTGCTGCCCATGTCAGAAAGGACTGTCCTTTGACATGTGACACACCTCTGCAGCGATGACTGTGATCACCTAGGGAGATTACCCAGTTTTCATACTCTTGCCCAGGTTTCCCCAAGACCAGGTAAATGAGTATGGGGTCACGGGATCACTGTAAACAGTTCCGTTGTGCAGTCAGGTTTGAAACCATTGCTCTCAAATGTTGCTTTAAAAGGAGAGAGAAAGAAAGAGAGAGAGAGAGAGAGAGAGAGAGAGAGAGAGAGAGAGAGGGAGAGAGAGAGAGAATGAATATAAATTGTAAGGAACTTTTCCATTTTCCATCCTGCAAAAAAGATTGAGTAAAATTCTGCTGAAAGCATTTCAACTGCTCCTGAAAGCAGGACCTTTGCTATTTGCTGCTCCAGGTGCACACACAGACTTCAACTTTGTATCTGACTCCCTCACACTTGGAGAAAGCAGAAAGCACTCAAGGCACAGGGGAGGGCTTCACTCTCATCCCTGTGGCACCTTGGCACTCTGCTCCTGTACCTTTGACCATCGTTTTAATGTGACGAGAGGAATCATTTGGTGAGCTAATCAGAAGTGAATGTGACCATGCATGGGCCGAGGACCATGTAGAGAATCAAATCAGACTAAGCCCATACAATATAATAGATCGTCAACTCACAATGACTATTTGGGGGGTGGTAGAAACAGGATTTTACCCTCTAGCCCACGCTGGCCTCAGATTGAAAGCAATCCTCCTGCCGTTGTCTCCTAAGTGCTGGGCTTAGAGGTGTGAGCTCCCACACCATATCTGCCTTTATTGTTATTTTGAGTCAGGGTCTCACTTGGGAGCTCAGGCTCTCAGAAAACCTCATGCCTCAGCCTCCCAAGGGCTGGGGTTACAAGAATGAGCCACCATGTCCAGTTTGGTTGTTAGTGCTGCTACTGCTGTTCTTGCTTTAAGCCAGGTCTTTCTGTCACCCAAACTGTTGACTGTAGCGTTTTCAGCTCGCAGTCAGTTGAACCCACTACAGTAGTACGCAGAGATACAGAAGACCGTCTGTACCAACACAATAAAGGGGCTGAGGCTGAGGTCGATAGTGTTGCAGGATATCTGATCACACTGGGAACCCCAAGATTATGTTGTTTGCTGGGAAAACCTGATTCTAGTTGTGGTGTGGCTCACCCTTAGTGCACAGCTTTAATCCCTCTGGCCAGAATCCAGACACAGCCTTAATATCCACCTTTATCCCAAACAATGAAGGTAAAGTTAGTTTACAGAAGGAAGCAGCCATGTTTGAAAGTGATGCCTAATTGAGTGGCAGAGAATGTGACAAATCAGAGAAAGATTTGACAGAATAGGATATGCCCGCTCTCAGGAGAAGAGAGAGGAAAGGGAAGCTACTTAAGACAGAGCAACAGCAGTAGTGGGGTGAAGAGAGAGAGAGAGAGAGAGAGAGAGAGAGAGAGAGAGAGAGAGAGAAGAGAGAGGGGAGAGAGAGAGAGAGAGAGAGAGAGACAGAGAGACAGAGAGACAGAGAGATAGTTTTACAGAGATTCTTTGTTGAAGAGAGAACAAGCTAGACACAGATGAAGATAGAACGAGCCAGAGAAGAAGGAGCCAAAAGACAGAGCAATTCAGTAGCGGCCCAGAGAACCCAGTTTGAATCAGTCAGCCTAGAGAGGAGTTTGAGCCAGAACAGCTGAGTTGAACCAGCCAGTCAGAGCTCAGAAGGAAGTAGAAAGAGTGAGTTTACTCAGCAGTAAGTCTCAGAGGCTGAAAACATTCTATGCCTAGAAGCTTCCAGGACTGGACATAGGTTAGAAACTGAGGCAGTAATCCCAGGAGACTACAGTTACCAATAGGAAAGTTACTTTAACACATGAGTACTTGCTCAGCATGCTATGAGGATTTAAGTTCAGCCCCTATTAGTGCCAAGAAAGAAAACAAGAGACTGAGAGGGGGGAGACAGAGAGTGGGGGATGAATACAAGAGAGAGCAAGAGGAAGGAAAATATGGAAGGAAGGAAGGAAGGAAGGAAGGAAGGAAGGAAGGAAGGAAGGAAGGAAGGAAGGAAATGTTTCACTAATATAATAAAGAAAACCAGCCTGCAAGATGGGCACACATTCCTTTCAGACCCCTGAGCCATGGCTATCCCTGGATGGCCCTCTCAGGCCAGTGTGCCCAGAGGCTTCTGTCTGTCCACAGTAACCAATCCAATGTTTGCCTGCAGAATGAAGTTGCTGTCCTCCTGAAACCCATATCTGAGAAGATTCAAGAAATACAGACTTTCCGCGAGAGAAACCGGGGGAGCAACATGTTCAACCACCTCTCGGCAGTCAGCGAGAGCATCGCCGCCCTGGGGTGGATAGCTGTGGTGAGTTGCAACGGAATGCCACACACCCCTCACCACATTTTCAGGGACTTCCAGGGCCACCTTCACAGGGCCTCCCTCCGTAGTCTGGTCCACTGAAGGAAGGTTCCTTCCAGGGTGGTTGCTTCAGTTTTTTCTTACCCTGTGTAAGCCCTGTGCTTTCTACTCTGAAATGGGAAAGTGTTCCTTCAGCCTTTACAAAACACCCACTGCCTCCAACTCTCACCCATCCCATCCATCTTTGCTTTTCTTCAGCTTCTTCGAGGTGTTCTCTTTCTTATCCTAATTTTTTTTCCTTCTATGCTTGGGTGATGGTCCTGTTTTCTCAGTCCCCCAAACCTGGTCCTTATGTCAAGGAGATGAACGATGCTGCCACCTTTTACACAAACAGAGTCCTGAAGGACTTCAAGCACAGGTATGTATCTCCTCTCCTGGCTGGGTTTTCAGACATTCATCAGACATTTGCTCTGAAAGCTTAATAGACTTAGTCACTAGACTCTTCATTGGTACGCCAAGTATCTTGAAATTAAAACCTTATCTTTGAGCTGGGAGCCTGCAGGCCCAGCACTTGGAAGTCAGAAAGAGAAGGCTCAGGAATTCAAGGTTGTTTTTTGCTCCGTAGAAAATGTAAGATCTGCCCAGGCCACATGAGACCTTGTCTTGAAAAAATGAAAAAGGCTGTTGAGACGGCTCAGCAAGCTTCTTGCCACCACACCTCGATAGCCTGGTTAGAATTCCTTCAACTCTCTTAGTCGAGGAGAGAGAGGTGTCCTGTGACTTCCACATGCACACCTCGGCGTGCATGCCAACACATATGACGCACACAAATTAAATAAATAAATGCAACAAGACAATCAAATAAGGGGGTGGAGACATTGCTCGGTGGGTCTGAGCAGTTTCCGCTCTTCCAGAGGACCAGATTTGGGGTGCATTGTGCTAGCTGCAACTTCAGTTCAAGGGGAGCTAACACCCTCATCTATCCTCTGCAGACACCTACAGCCTCCCCCCATATTCACACAGCGGGACACGCATACAAGTATAAATAAAAACTTTTTATTTTTAATACATTTTTAAAAATAAGTTTTAAAATCCTACTTTTGTAGGGAAAGCCACATAAAGAGGGGCTTGGATTCCTGACGGACACACACATTTTATAAAGAAAGCTGCCTCAGTTTTCCTTCAGTGAATAACCTGTCCCCAGTTGACCACATGTCTCTACATTATGAATTTCTGTACTTAAAGAATGAACCTATAGGATGGAACGATTTTTTTCATGTTTCAAGACAGTCTCTTGAAGTATCCTGATGTATCTTGAACTCACAGCTATTCTCCCAAGTGCCACCAAGCCCAGTGGAAATTTCCACTGATCAAAGTAGAGGTAGTGAGTGACTACACAGAAAGAATTGAGGAGCCCAACCCTGAGACCGAGGAGACTGTGAGTGAGGCAAAGGGGCAGGAAACAGGAAACTGAGCTGAAACAGGACCTGGGGGACAGACATCTGTCGTCTGAACAACCATCAGCAGCTGTTGAAAGGGCAGAGTTTTGTCTAAAGGACCAGCATGGAAAGATCTGGTATCCTACAGCCCAGATAATGGATGCTAGAGAGACTGATCTGAAGTTAGAAAAAAAGTACAATGAAATGGAGATAGGCCAGGCTGAGAAGGTATCTAGAAAAATGTCTCTTAAGCTATTTACAGATTGTCCCAACAGCCCTCACCCTCCAATGAGGTCACAGCTGGCTAAGTGTGATGTGGCCAATCCCTGGTAACTACTGGAGGAATTGGGACAAAAATAAGAGCAGTGGTCTTCCCCTATCTGGCTCTGGCCTCTGGTAGGTCCCCTTTTGAGCTCTCAGAACTGGCCATCAGCTGACAAGCCCACAGGGCCTCTTAGGGACATTTCTTCCTTATTCCAGACTGCTCATATGGAAGAAAATCAGAGGACCTGGATTTTTCTAGATTATCATCTCAGTGACTTTACTGATGCAGATCTGAGTATCAGAACCGGAAGATACACTTTACATAGAACATAGAAAAATGTATAGCATATACAAATACCTTCCATGCTCTAGCCTATTGACTAGAGAGTACCATTCAAAATTTGCATTTTTGAGGGAGAAGTGTCTTCTAGGAGACTTTTTTCTTTTTCTTTTCTGTCTGTGTTTGTTTGTTTTGAGACAAGATCTCACTACAGAGCCCAGTGAGCGGCTTCAAATTTATGATCCTCCTGCCTCAGCCCACTGAGAGCTAAAAATGCAAGCATATACCACCATACCAAGCTATTTTTAAAGTCAATATTTAATCAATATAGTTATATATATATCCCATATTGAGGTATAGGGAATTGTTATTATTTTACATATTTATCCCACCAACAATTAATTTCACAATATTTTCACCTTCTCCTCTGAAGAAACCTATACCTACCTGTTGCTGTTTCTTGTTTCTCCAGCCCTAAGTATCTACTTACTATCTGTGTAGTCTCCTGAGGTGGTGTCATCACCAAAGGGTTTGAGCTTTCCCTCCAATCTTTGCCCACATTGAGGTTGTTTGAGAGCTAGGAGTTGAACTCAGGACCTCCCTTGTGTTAGACAAAACACTAAACTACACCCCCAGCCTTCATTTTTCTTCATTTTGAGACATTCTCACCAAGTTGCCCAGGCTAGCCTTGCACTCACTCTGTAGTCTGGGCAGATCTTTAGTGTGATTCTCCAGCCTCAGCCTCCTTTTATAGCTGTAATTCCAAGATCATGCCAACCAGCCCAGCTCAGTCTTTGCCACTTGATCTCAGCTATAAATGTTAAATATAAAACACCCATCAGTGTCACCATACACTTCATCAGCAGAGTGCCTTAAAAAGATATAAAATGCCAGAGACATGTCACCAGAGATGTAGATGGGTTCATCTGGGTCTCAGCCCCCCTTGAACATCTTATTCTGGTGAACTGATGAGTGTAGGGAGCCTTGCATCCCAACATCCGTCTATGGGTAGGTGCCCCAAGTTCCCCACAGGGCCTCCTCTGTGTTACCATGTGGCAGATATGTAGGAGAAAGACCTGAAAGACAGGCTGCCTGTGGTTGGGACAGAAGGACTGTGGGCCAAGGATCCTGCTCCTGTGCTCCCTAGGCAGCTAGCTTTGCTGGCTGTGGCTCCTTTTTCTATTATATGTACAGAGCCGGCTGGTTGTCTTGGCTTTGCCCAAGGTGTGATGTCACGGCTTCCAGAGCCAATGAAAATGGAGGGAGCTTCTCAGCTCCCATTTGTTTTAGATCCTGCTCTCCAATAGAGACTAACTTCAGGTAAAGGACACCACGCAGTTATTCTTTCCTATAGTATTTTTTATGGAACTTTCTTTAAGTTAAAATAATACTGCGATGGTTAAGAGAAAAACACATTTACATATACAGATCTGGTTTGGGGTGGTTGTTAGAACTTTTTATGCAATTATTCCTTCCTACAGTTTTTTTCCTCTGGAACTTTCTCCAGGTCAAAATAATACTTCAGTGGTTAAAAGAAAAACCACATTTGCCTATACAAAACTGGCCCTCATTGGTTGCTAGAATTTTCAGAAGAAGCTATGTCAAATGCGCAGTCTGATTATCTCTAGTGTGTGTGAATTGCCACGTCTGTGTGTTGTGTAAGTGTAAACACACACATACACACAGAGAGAGATGAGACATCTGTATAGGTAGAGCATGTATGTAAACACAAGCACTAATTCATTTTGAAGTGAGCCTCCCCCTCTGATGGCTGATATGTGTGCACTGCTTTCTGCGTCTAGGGCACTCGCTGAGAGCCTCACAAAACCCTACGGTACAAGGCATTAATGAGGCAGCTCTAGGAAGCGACACTCACTTAGGGGATTTTAGTTATAAGAGTGAAGCAGAGCCTCATAGATTCCAGTCATCGAGCCAACAAATCAAACTGTAGAAGACAGCAGAGCGATTGGGAGTCCAATCCCTACGTGAGTTCCTTCCTCACCGATAGAACAAGGATCTGACAGAGGATGAACCTAAGACAGGAGAGGTTCGTTTCAACCCCCTTGACTCAGGAAATACAGTCCCTGGGCTGGGAAGACATAGCCATAGGGCTGGCTTGTCCGCTGAGGCAGTGAGAGATTACTCACATCTGGGCAGGTCAGGAAGCAGAGACGGGACAGGAGGTGGGGCTAGGCTATATACTGGAAGGCCCGCTCTACAGTGACCAACAGCCTACAAAAAACCTCCACCTCTCAAAGGTTGCACAATCTCCCAAAACAATGTCGGAGGCTTGGGACCAAGTCTGCAAACATCTGCTGACTCTGAGGGACATGTCCCAGCTAAAACATCTGACTCTGAGGGACATGTCCCAGCCAAACCATAGCTGTCTCCCTGTTCACTTTCCCCATGGCCTGGGCACGGCTTATGACAGGGGGCTGTAGGCATGGCACTGACACTCAGAACATTACGAGGAAAGGAGTAAGTGTGGAGAAAAGCCACGGTTGTCAAGAGGCTCAGTAACACAGCTTTCTCCCGTGGTCCTCTTCAGATGACCTAAGTAGATCACCAGGCTTTCACCAACTCAAAACTCAAATGTTTTCTCATTTTCTGACTACTACTGCTTCCTTCAAAATGGGGAAAGGAAAATTATGGGAGCAGAAATGGCCCAAAGAAATGCAGCAAGGTGGGATGAAATATAACTAAATATGAAATTCTCAAATAATTAATAATAATAATAATATATTTTAGGAAATAAATGCAGCCGTTTGCCTGTTCTAACGTCTCTCACAGTCCCAGGGGTTAGCCCTATTAAGAAAACCTTTCAGTGAGTTCTTCATTCAATAAAATAAAATCTGATCAAAGTCCATAGTGCTCTAATTGTCAAGAGCATCCGATTAAGGTACCTCATCGAGAGTCACCTTACAAGTATGGGGTCTTACCTGATAATAAGAAAATATTTTTCTTATAATATCAACTTGCCCATCATTCATGACTGTCTCCATGAGTAGAAGTCTCCAGCCAATAATACTTCTAAAACCAAGTACCTGCTGGATTACTAGAAAACAAGCTAAGTGATTTTATTCCTCTGTTTCTTTTTTCTTTTTGATGCCGTTCTTGCTCCTAGAAGCATGCTGTTCTTTATTTTATGAGAAGGAGGTCAGAAGGAATGGTCTGCTCTCTTCAGTCACCTCCACTCAGAATGGCACACTTCACCTGCCAGCTCCATGTGGCCAGCTCCCCTTCTCTGTGTCTCTGTCTGTCCATGTCCAAAGCTGGGAGCACTGGCCATCCTCCCTCCTCCCTCTGGAGCACTCAGGGTTTCCCACATTCTCAGTGCTCTCCTTTGGCTCGAAGACAGTTGTTCCGGACTCCTCAGGAGTTCCAGCTACCAGGTAACGAAGTGTAAAACTGTAGTTTTGATCTTAACTCTGTTCTCGTCTGCTCTCTCATGACAAAGCGATCTGCGCCACGTGGATTGGGTGAGGTCCTATCTCAACATCTGGAGCGAGCTGCAAGCCTACATCAAGGAGCACCACACCACGGGCCTCACTTGGAGCAAAACAGTAAGTACCAAGCCCTCTCTGACCCGAGTATCAAAGGCCATAAAGAGACTGTGAAGACGTGTATCCCATGTGGCCTTAGAATTTATCACAAGATGGGACAAAAGCTTTATGGAAACAGCATTTCCTTTAGAAGACTCTGTTAACTGCCTGCAGAGCACGTGGAAAGGAAACGGTTAGGCTGCCTATGATAAGGATGCAAAGGGGGTATTTTTTATTTAGCCATAAAGAACAAGATCATGTCATTTGAAGGAAAAATAAACGGAGCCGTAGGCCACCATGTTAAGAGAAATAAGCTAGTCCCAGAAATAGGACTCTCTCCTATTTTCAAACTGTATGATAAACATCTATACTTAGGAAAATGTCATAATGAAACCTATTATTTTATATAATCAATGTATGCTCATAAGAAAACAAATGGAAAACTATCACAGCTATTAAGATTTGACTGGGTGGTAACTGCTTACCGTAGACGGCTCAACTCAGGCTCAAGGGTTTACAAGTACAAGATGGTGTTAAGGGATAAGAATTAAAGGGAACACAAGCATTTGGGCGTAGCTGTAAATAAAACACCAACTAAAAGTTCAAAATATTTCTTTTTGATATAGCAAAGTTTAATGAACAATCTTTATCATGGTGCATTTGTCTTGTTTGGGTTTGCTATGTTTGCTCTTGGTCAGGAGAGAATTGAGACAGTGCCTCCTACCTTCCAGGCTGGCCTGGGTAACCTTAAATAACCTTAATCTTTTACCTGCCTCTACTTACCAAGTGCTTGAATTGCAAGCATTTGCCACCACACTCGCTTCGTGTGGTGCTGGGAACCGAGCTCAGGGTCTCAGGCATGCTGAACAAGCATTGCACCAGATAGACCACATCTCCAACCCAATCCTAGCGCTTTGGCTGTGCCTTAGCAATGGAGTAAGCCTCTGCTGAGGTGTGCTTTCCCTTTAATTTCTGTACGGGAAACTACAATGGCCCTGACCGCTCCAGCCTTGTCTCAGCTCCTTCCTGACTCATTGAACATTACAGCAGTCGCTGGCTGCCTGAAGCATCCTGAGCACATGCAACACTCAGACCAGTGGTTCTCAACCTGTGGTTCACGACCCCCAAGGGTGGGGGTCAAACAACCCTTTCGAGAGGGTTGCTTAAGACCATCTGCATATCAGATACACTAAAATTTGTAACAGTAGCAGAATTACAGTTATGAAATAGCAACAAAAATAATTTTAAGGTTGGGGTCATCACTGTATGAAGGACTGTATTAAGGGGTCACAGCATTGGGGAGGTTGAGGACCGCTGGCTTAGATGAAAGCCAAAAGAAATGGCTGATTCTGAATTTGATGTACACATACTGCTTTGCCTCAGTTGCAAAATCCTGGATGGATATTGTGCTTATCACCTTAGTTTCCCAGAGGTAGGCACCCCACATCTTCCCCTCACCTCAACTCGAACATCACAGCTTTGCGGAAACATGCTCTTCCCCAGCTCCACCTCCAGGGTGGGGGTTCTCCTCTGTGTTTGTTGTTTCCTGAGCATACCTTAGCAGGTGCCCTTGGAGTTTCTGTGTTCTCACGAGCTTAGAAAATCTCCTCTGTGTTCCACCAGATTCCTGACTTAGAGCTCAGAGTTCATGCTCAGCCAATGGAATCGGGTTTATATAGTGTATATTCTGGGCCTCTTGGGACCTTCCTTACCTCCTGGAGTCTCTGTACTTGCTTCTGGTGGAAAGTCCCTTCCATTAGAAATGAATATTACCTTTAAATAGCCAACAGTTTAACTGGGAAGAAACGTAAGTGAGACGTTTGTGAATTCTGTCCAAAGGTCAAGGTCCCACTGACTGCTGTGTCCCAGCACGCAGCCCTCAGCAAGTGCTGAGGGAAGCCAGCTCAATTTGAGGTGATTGTGATTTTCGAGTTTTGAACAGAGTGTGAGTTCCTCCAAGCCTTTCCCAGCAGGAACAAATGTTAGCAATGGCCCCCTCCAAACTGATGTTCCTTTTCGTTTTCTACCTCGCCTCTCCCACCTCACAGCATAATGATATAGACAAGAAATTCCATGCATTTCTAATCGGTTAGGGGGCAGGGAATGGGGGAGGGGGGCGCAGTGTGGAGTGAATGTTTTGTAGACTGATTAGAATTCTTGCACATCTGTTTCAAATGAAGGACCATCTTGTTATAAATCTGTGTGTCCTAAAGGGCAAGTGTCACATCTTGGTCATAGGATAAGCCACCATTAGAGAACGATAAGATGGGGGTTAGGAGTCCTCGGAACCATTATTGTTTTCTGACAGGCAAATATAAGAGGGACGACAATCCACTTGTGGAAGACAATGCCAACCGATGCTAATTCTCCAATGAGACTCATAAAAAAATGGATTTAAAAAAAAAACTTCTTTTAAATAGTTTGAATACCCTTCCTGCCACATATAAAGCTAGGAGATCATTTCTGTGAATATAAAAGAGAAGATCTGATTATTAATGATAGAAAAATATGTAAGTGCTTTTCTTTGTTCTAGAGTGAATGCTCACTTTATTGTGTTCAATAAAAAATAAATCCTTCTAGAACCCTGAGGTGTAGCTGAGTGGAAGAATGTTTGCATAGTGTGTGTGAAGCCTGGGCTCACTCCCTCATATCAAGGGGTAGAGGAGAATATTCACTTTGTACCAGTACCTTTCCAGATTTTTATTGCAACTCAAGGAGACATGTATTTTATAGACACACACTAACACTACAAGCCTACAGCCAACTCTCACAAACTTTGTTTTCCTTTTCATACACAACGTGTTCGGATAGCTTTTCTTTTATGTCACTTTTGATAACGCTCTCGCTGAAACTAAAAGTCGATTTCACAATCCACACAACATCACGTCCCACATTTTAAAAAGCAATGACATAAAACACGTGTTATATATTTACTGGAAATATAAGCGATCCCTAGAGCAGATTGGGCCTCACAGATTGCCACGTTAGTAACAGCTATTGTTTACTGAGCACATGGTTTAAGTCATGAGAAAATTCTACTGGAAACAGTAAGTGCATGTGCCTGTTATGCACACACTCTAACAGCCAGCCACACCCCATCCTATGCTACTTCTTCAATCGGACAGTGAAATGATAGTTGTGACCCAATACCAAAAATATGAAGTAGTTACAGTAGGAAAGCATTTATTCTGCACCATGCATGTACAGCCTTTTGAAAAGTGGCCAGACTTATGCCTAGACCCACATTTTTTTCCTGATTTTTACCCTTCTTGTCTAAAACTTGAAGGAAAAGCCATTAAAAAAATGCATTATAAGGTTAGAGAGATTGATCAGTGGTTAAGAGCACTTAGTGTTCTCGTAGATGACCCAGGTTTAATTCCCAGCACCCTCATCTCCATGATTTATAACAAAACAGTCTTTCATTTGAAACAGATGTGAAAGAATTCTAGTCTATAAGACATTCTCCCCATCCACAGCCACCCTCCTTCTTAAAACCCTTTAGAAATGCATGAAATTTCTTGTCTATGCATGGCTCTCAACCATCCATAACTGCAGATCCAGAAGGGTCTACCACCCTCTTCTGACTCCTCGGGCACTAGGCACTCACATGGTGCACGGACATCTTTGAGAGCAAAATTTTCATACACATATAATAAAACAGTTACAGTTTTGAATTCGAAAATTCCATTCCAACTTTACATTTCTAAAAACTGTTACGATTCCAAGTGCAATCTATTGTCCAAGTCAAACTAATTTCTCGTGGATTGCTCTTCTGGTGACATACCAGCAAAATGAATGTTTGTAGATAAGGCAGAATCCCAATTCTTGCAGACAAGAGGGACTATTAGAATTATCTGATCAAAATGGCCCTTGGGAACAAAAAATAAACACAGTCCCTTCGTCTGTTTATCTACCGATCATAAGTATGCAGAAACAATTCTGTATTTATGAGAAGGCAAGGATCAAAAAGACTGGGGGGAAGGCATGGTGTTGGTGTGAACCACCACAAGATTCAGGCATTTGCTTTTTATTGCGTGTGCGTGTGCATGTGCATGTGGGGGGGGGAAGGGGGGAGTGTGGAGGTCAGAGGACAACTCTGGGGAGTCAGTTCTCTGCCACCATGGGTTCAGGGATTCAACATAAGTCATCATATTTGCATGGCAAGTGCCTCTGTCCACTGAGCCATCCCACCAGCCCATTGCATCTTTGCAGACAGCCCAGTGCAATGCTGCCCAGACTACACAAAGTGTATGGATACACAACACCTCAAGGGTCTTGAGTAATTCTTGTTTTCTTCCATTTTCAAGTTGGATTTTGACATTTTTTTTCCACTCTGGGTCTTTTAGCCTATTACTAAAGACCCTGGGGTCCTCTGCTAACAAATACCCACCCCACCTCGAAGAGAGCAGCTGCAACCGGATCTTCCAGTTGTCGCCTCCTAACCTTGGCCTTCCGAGTGCAGCTGTGCCAGCAGCTGCTGCCCCGCCTGTCCACTTGTCACTGACAAATGTGCAACTCTGAGGGTAGGGATTGTTTAGGACAGCAACAGGGGAGGCAGTGAGTGTGTGCACAGCGTGTTGGGGTGGGGGCGGAAGTGTTTGGAGCTTCAGAGCAAGCAGCTGTGAAGTTATCTGTCTATGTCTCATATTAAGTTGACTTTGGTCCATGGAATTTTGTCCTTTCTCTGAGCTTTTCTTCAACTTGAAGCCAACATGGACCTAGCAGCAGTCCAAACCAGAAACTACTTGAGTTTTCAGTTCATTCCTTTCTTCTAGAATCTTTCTCATGTTAGTTGATGTTGTTGCTTCTGGGCTAAAGTTCAGAGACACTTTGTTAACTAAATTGATCTTTTGGCACAAGCCTGGTAGAGGCACCAATGATCTGCCCACCCGGCAGTTAGATTTGTAAGAACCACGAGCAAAAACTTCAGACCAGATGCCTGCAGCTGGGAGACCGAAGCCCAGTCCTCACACTTGTAATAACACAAACAACTAAACTTTTCCTGTGAGTTGTTCAGATCT